CATGCGCTATAGTAAAAGTAAAAGTTAAGGAAAAAACTGATTGCAGTGAAGATGACATTTTTTTTCAATTCTTTACCAGAAATTTAATTCTCAAATTTTTTTGTATAAAAACAAACAAGCTAGGAATAGATCGAGATTGCAGTAATTTTTGTAGTGACTCTAAAAAAGTCCAACCACTGTGTAGGCATGTAGAAACTGAGAACCCAAATCAATAGGAAGTTAGAAGCATGCGGGCTGAAAATGGAAGTAGTCAAATTTGAACATTCTCAAATCCCTTTGTAAATGTCACACCTTTTATCTGAAATTGATCAGGGAAATAATATAATTAAAAATGAATTAACGCAATTGCAAAAGAGGCGATCGATGGGAATTAACTTTTATGTAAAAGAATAATCCTAAAAGCAATGACGCAGAACGTTACCTGAGGAAGGGGAGTGATTTGCTAAGGTTCGCAATATTTACCATGGTTAGTTTACAGAGATAATTATTCACTATTTATTTAGATTTTTTGCTTGGAAATTTAATGCTACACTGCATTTTCTATTGAGGGAATACTTTAATTTGTATTGCGAAATAATGCTATTCTGACATTTTGCTATTCAATTGGTTAATTTAGCTCTAGCTTTTTTTTCATTTAGTTTCCTATCCCAGAAGATTAAAAAAGTAAGTTTCCTGAAATGCTAGATACTTTTAAAAAACACCAAAATTCTACATACTTTAGTTTTCAAGTAATTATGTTTACCTTTGATTCGATTAAAATTATCTTCCATTGCAATAGTATTGCCAAAATGCCACAAATTTTCTCTTCCGTGTTCTGAAACTCTTGATTCAATATTTCTTTCCGCTTGAGTGCCATTCTCTTTGTTCATCTTGCAAAGAATAACATACATATCTTATATTTCTCTTGAGGTTTATCTGAAAATAATTTTCAATCTAGGAAAACAAATTTTGCTGTCTTTAAATGGTTCACAAATTTTATTCTTAAAACACACGCGAAACACGACTTCTGATTTGCCAGCCATTCTGGTTTGATCTCTTTTCTGTTCAAAGCAATTTCTTGTTATTTGTGTATACCCTCATATACTGAAATGTGTTTTAATTTATTCTCTTCTTTTCATTGGGTGTTCCTTTTATTAATACATTGCAAGATTTTGCGATTCTTCCTAGTGTCATGCTCATGGCGCTGATATCATTATTAACATTTTTAAATCTGAAATGGAAATCAAAACTTCATGGTGGGCAGCTGTATTATAATTTTTTTAATATACATTTTCGGGGAGTTTTATTAAATGAATGTGACATATGAAGAAATCATCTACAAATATGAGGACTTAAAGGTATTTCTCCCGTCTTCTTAGCATGCCTTCGTTATGTAGCGGTCAGCACACTCGGCGCGTATTCGAGAGGTCCATGGCCCGAGTCCCGTCCAGGGCATTGCTCATTTTTCACTTCTCGCAGCATAAAAAAACTAATGGCTCTACAGACTTATTATTAATCCACGGTATTCAAATATTAAACTAGAAAAATAGTTTTATAAATGCATGTCAAAATACGCCCTCAAGGATATTTAGGATCAAAATTAAAATAAAAATTTGGAAAGAAATAAAATATTTATTAGACTGCTCACTCATTAGCAAAATATTGAAGAAATTTATGTATTTATGAATATTTAAGAAAAGAAATTGGAATAGGTTTTAAATCATTCCTCATTTTATAATTTAAAGTACTTAAATATATAAAGCGTAGAACATATCATACGTGAGGGATATAATATTCGTATGAAGTATCACTTCTAAAAAATATGAGTATTATTACTCATATCAAGTGTATTTAACGGACTAATGTTATTAGAAGTTTTAAGAGGAGGAAAATAACAGCTGTTTTTGAGGCCTGCGGAAAAAGTCTTTTATATACACGTTTCGGAACTTTAAAATTTCCTTCATTTCTTCTTCTAAGTTTCAAGCCAAAGAGAGTTCAAAAATATAAAATCAGTTCTACGTTTAATGATTACTTGATTACTCTGGCGTCAACGTGAAAATGCGTATATGAAAAATATGGTCTAGTAAACAGTAAAAAGCGGCGTTCGTCCTAACTAATGTCAGTAAGACAGGAATTTATCCCTGCAAGACTTAAAAAGAAGGGGGATAACTCGCTTTCTTTGTCTTTGATAACATGAAAGGAAAATATCGCTAGTATTTCCAGTAGCAAAGAGTTGTGATCTGAAAGAAAACTGAAAAAAAATCACGATGTCAAAGCACAATGTGCAAATGCAACAATTACGCAGGAGCTAGAAGTATATTGTATTAAACAAAAAGAAATTTTTAGAGACAAATTCAAGCATTAAGCATTTATTTCGTAGAACTGAAAGTAGCTCCTTCGTAAAAATTGAATATATTGACAGCATATACCGCATTTAAATGCACTTCTGAAATGAAAAGTGTCGGAATTTTGAAAACGCAGATAAGAAATATTCATATAACTCATACAGTAAAACGTTGCTTGTCTCATGCATGCAGTTAAGAAGCTAATAATTTAACCAAAGATATTTAATTATTTTCTATATCTTTTAATAACAAAAATCTATCACAACTACAAGAGCTACACACCATTTAATCGTGTGCAATTTTTGACAGAAGATAATTGCGTTAAAAGGATAGGATGGATATATTTTGTAATAGATTATTTTCTATTAAATAATTGAGTGTACCTAAAATAGTTACTGAAGTAATCAGAACAGGTAACCCCCCCAGTAGCCGAATGGTTAAGACCGCTGAATGCAAGTAGTTCGACATTGGTTCAATTCCTAGGTGGATGAGATGGTTCATATTTGGATTTGGTGTTTATTTTTTCTATGTGAAACATGAATATAAGCAATTTTTCCTTGGAAAGGGCTTCCGAAAGACATCCCTTTCTTTATTCAAATAACCTAACCCAAACAAATAAAAGATACGAACGTGGTCTGAATTAAAAGTAAACCTACTCTTCTTTCATTTCTTCATTATTATATATTTTTTGTTTCCTAAATGGGAAAATGTAATTATTAGAGAGAGTCTAAAATATTATTTATATGATAATAAATATTTTATTTTAATATATAATGTGAAAAGAAGAGAGTTACATATTAAAGTAGTTTTACACGTTTACATTCGCTTTAAATGAGAGATTTTATAACTAACTGTGTTTTGTAGTGGACAGATATTTTGATATCGCTCTTAGTTATGTCCTATGTGAACTAATTTACTTATGTCTTTTTTACAGGATTTTATGTAGTGCACATTACATTATAATTCAGAAGTCAAACAAAAAAATCAGCGTTATATTTACCAAATTTTCACAGGACTAGTTTCGATGGTTTTACCGAACCACCATCTTCAGCTGCAAACCGCAAATGAACCAATTAGGAAATAATGAGTAGATAAGATAAGAAAGCCTGGACAAGAATAAGCAAGTGGCGCCATCTGTTGGTGAAACCAGAACTAAAACATAATTTCTTTAAAGGCCGAAGGCAAATTTGGATTGGAATTAGGATCGTTAACTAGAACAGAAATATTTTTATGAATGTGAAATGCCTCTAGAAAATCCAGTTCTCCAATGAAAGATGTTTTTTGAATAATTTTGGCAGCAGGAAAACTGAAAGTGTGGTTTTCGGACCAACAATGTTGAGCAACAGAAGACTTCTGTGTTTCCTTTTTTCTAACACATGCCTCATGTTCCTTGACGCGAAATTTTAAGGCTCTCTTAGTTTGGCCAATGTAAATTAAACCACACTGGCAAGGAATCCTATAAATACCCCAGGAATTCATATCCGGAATGGGGTCCTTGAGTATGGAACTCGGAATTTTATTGATGGGAGAATAAACAACCCGAAAGTTAAATTTCTGCAAAATATGGGCAACTTTATAGCTAATTGATGGAAAGAAGGGAATGACAACAGAATTTTTATAATCTCCTCAAACAAGAGTGTGCCTTTTAGTGTGTTGAGATGAGAATTTTTTAACTGCTTGATTAATAATGTTGGGTGAAAAGCCCCTGTCAATAGCTATTGCTTTTAAATAATTTAGTTCTTCATCAAGGGCTAGTTTGGAGGAGCAAACTTGAAGAGCACGGAAAACATAGGAATAAAATGAAGCTAACTTTTGTTTAGTCGGATGACATGATTTAAAGTGTGGTGGAAAGCAAACCGATGAAGGTTTACGGTAAACCGTAGTACTGAAGTTGGATGTGTTACGTGTGACCAGAATGTCGAGAAACGGAAGAGAATTGCAAGTCTCAAGTTCAAAAGTGAACTGAATAGCAGGATCAATAGAATTCATTGTTGAAAGAACTTTATTTAAATCATCTTTATTACCTTCAAACAGAGTAAAATTATCGTCTACGTAGCGGAACCATGCCGGGAAGTTTAAAGTTTCAAACAATTTTGATTCATAATAATGCATGTAGATATCAGCCAGGATGGGACTGAGGGGGCTTCCCATGGCTAATCCCTCAGTTTGCTTGTAATATTTATTTTGGAAAACAAAATGTGTTTGTTTCAAACAGAGTTGAGTGAGAGAAATTAGCTCATCAATTTCGATGCAAGAGAAATGAAATTCGCGAAGTCTGGTTTCTAGACATCTTAATGCACCCTCCACTGGGACATTGGTGAATAATGATTTTACATCAAAAGAAACCATGAGTAAATTACTAAGAGAAATGTTTTTAACTTTTTTTACAAACTCTATTGAATTTTTTATGGTGTAAATGTTATTGTCTAATAGAGTTGAAAATCTAGAAACTAAATATTTAGCTAATGGATACGAGGCAGTACCTAAATTATTTATTATAAATTTAGGTACTGCCTCGTATCCATTAGCAGTACCGAAATTATTTATTATAAATAATTAGGTACGAGGCAGTACCTAAATTATTTATTATAAATTTAGGTACTGCCTCGTACCTAATTATCTTAACACGTATTGTGCATGAAATATTGTATTTAACTCGTAAATACTTCTTTACAGGATTTCACACTTGATTTCTATTTCCGGCAATCGTGGAATGATGATCGACTTGCCTTTTCAACCAGGCATAACCTGGATAGTATGACCGTCGATGCAGAAGTAGCAAAATATATTTGGTTGCCTGATACATTCTTTGCGAATGAGAAGACAGCTTACTTCCATGAAGCTACTACGCCCAATACATTTTTAAGGATAAATTCTAAAGGGGAAGTTTTACGAAGCATGCGGTGAGTAGTAATTTAAATTATTTCATAACGTGATTTTATGTACAAAATTTTAGTGTATCAATATTCTTTGTATATACTTTCACTGACTACGTTTAATACTAAAGACTGATGAGTGATCTAAAGTTTGCTGCAAAAATGCAGGTAATTATTCTGAAATTTTCCTTCATGCATCAAGTAACTCATAGCTGTTCAAGGCTTAAAATATCTATGAAATATTCTTTCTTCTCCACAGATTTATTTGATCATTTGTGAGAAAAATATTACTAAAACAATACGTAACGTCTATTCCATAGCTATCATATTTAAATCGGGTCATTTAAGGTATAGCAGCATTTGAGCACTATTATTTTTATACAAATCACAAGATAACTGTACCATGTACAAGTATAGCTTACTGTACCGCCATATTCACAATTATGCATTATTTCTTTAAGATATATTCGTAATATTTATATACATTAATCGTAATTTTTAATATGTATTAGTCGCAATATGATGAATGATCAAAGTTAGAATTCATTCCAAGTGTGACAGGATAATTTGAAGTGATTTCGGAAAATTTCTAAAATTATATAATGATCCTACAGATTAGAGGAAAATATAGTGAACTATATTTGCTTACATAGGAGCTCATTTCTAGTGAATGTTTATAGAAGGGATAAGGTTTTCGTAACCCAAAAACATTGACAATTCCTCTCTGGAGTCTGTCTACATTGATAATGTCCTCTCTGAGGCTCAAACAACAGACCTTCCAATTAATAGTTGCGTCTAATAACCGCTTATGCCATAAGATAACACTTCAGGGAATGCGAAAAATTCTTGCATATTTTTTAAAGGCAATTTTGCACCTACTTGTTCAATTTTTATGAAAATACACAGAAGTTAATAAATGAGTATATCTGTATTCTATCCCTTAGCTGCTAAAAGAAATGAAATACCCTTTATTTATAGTGCAACATCAAGGCAGACTCTACTGTATTTATGAACATTATATTTTAATTTTCAATGGAAACAGATTTTAAGAAAATTCAGTGATACCAAACAACTAGATCAAATAATATACAACTACTAAGTACCTGTCTTCTATAACATAACAACTAAAAGCCTTTGAAGAACTGATGAAAGATTTACCAGTATGTATGTTCATTAAATGAAAGCATTGCATGAATCAAAAATTTTAAATTTACATTTCACGAACGTCACAAAAATGGTACAGTGGAATCTAGGAAGTGTTTGTTACCCTTTACTTGACTGGCGTGACTGAACATTTGGACACCGCTTTGTCGTCAAGGGAAACAGGACTGATCAATGCTTTCTACTGCACATCTAGTTGTTTGATGAAACTCCAGTATAGAATTTCGCTTCACATTCATTGTATCGATTTCTTTTAAGCATTCTTCATAACTAGTTTGCGTGGTATGCTGAAGGTTGTTTCAGATGTCTTTGTTAATATTAAGCTTTATGGAAATACATTTAGAGCGAAGTAAAACTTTTGACAGCTCTACATTGCAAATGTTATATCGATTGTCTAAATACGTTAACGCATATTTATATAAAGAAACATAAAGTACTATTCCCCATTTTCTGACTATCTTTGTAAATAAAACGCCATTACTGCTGGATTGCCTCACACGTTAGGCAACAGGTTGCAGGACTTATTTGGAAGGAATCTTTTGTTTGCTTTTTTATGTCAGGCGATCTTCCATTGCTTTAACCAATGTAAAATGGTTTGGAATTAGGCAAAGATCAGCTTTAAAGTAATGTTGGTTTTATGGAACCAAGACCAACCTTAGGTTGATTCTTGCCTAATTTGTTTTTAATACGTCATGCCTCCAAAAATTCTGTTGAGCTTCGTTTCTTAAGAAGCATTTCACAATCAATCAAGAATGTAAAATCTATCAAATGGCAAAGTTTACCTTGGAGTGATTACATGCTAACATACACTCAGTTAAATGTAAAGGAAGATTTAGTTAGTATTCTTTAGTAAAAATGTACGTAGGACAGATATACAATTGCTTTAATACTTGTCGTCATTTGCTATAATGAATTATGCATAATATTAAATACGCAATTTATTACATATCAAGAACTTATCGTTAATCTAAATTTTGAACATTTCTGAGTTTTACAAGAACAATAAATTATTTTTCTAAAAGCCGGATATGAACAACTGAAGATCGCGGACTGAATGTTAATGCTGCGAACTTGAAGTTCGCAACATAACTTTTCTACATGATAATTACGTTTAAAAAGATTTGAAGAAATAGTAAAAAGTGATAGTCTAATAAATTTTCTAAATTTTTAATTTGAAATTTACATGAATTTTGGTATTTTTAGGCTGCATATCCATTATCCCCGAAATGTACACGTTAAGCTGTGAAGCGAAATCTTTCCTTTGACCATAATAGCATAATTCCTTAAATTCCCATTCATATTTAATAGATTTTAATTTTAAATTAGATTGATTATTTTTAACCAAATATAAAATGCAGTGTTCATTTACAGAGTGTTGACAATTTGAGAATTTTTCACAAAATGTTTAGAATTAAATTCTTCCTTCATAAGTAAAGTTTCTGCGCTTAATTTCTTAGAAAATTGATAAAACCACATATAAATTTAATTGCCTTCAGATTTTTCGATCATCTGCGTCATTTACATATTGCTTATTCAAAGTAGCTATCAGTCTGAAATGTCTATTTCCTTTTTCAAGCTAATAGTTTTCTCGGAGACACAGTTTGAAAATGTTCATCCAAAGCTTGAAAGATCTCATCAAGTTTTGTCCAATTCATGAATTTTTTGGGAACGATTCATTCCATTTATAAAATAAACACGCCGAGAGTCAATGTTAAAATCTCAAATGGTCACTAAGTTTATACAGATCCAATTTTGTTAATTTAACCTGTAATGCTTTGGACACAAATTTAGACATGCTTAAAATCCTTTCTTGAAAGACTTTCTTATGAAGTCACGTGTTGACATTTTTGATGGAGAAGAATCACCGACAGCTGCTTAGCAATTTAGAGCTGTTGTGACATGCGATTGCAGAAAAAATGTTGAACTTTCGAAGCGTTTACATTCATTTTCCCTATCTTAACTTCTGGAGCAATCTAATAATTTTAATTTGTCCCCATTATTTTATTATATTTTGCATAGAATCATTCAGACAGTTTATCATCTCCGCATCTTAGTAAACGGATTAACATAGATTTAGTTCCAAATTGTCGAAAAAATAAGAAGTTTTCAGGTTAATTTGCAGTGATATTAAATTTAGGTTTAAAATGTAAGGCATTTCAATTTTCCCCCAAATGCATGCGGCGTAATTAAATGATGCATTAATCTAACTCACATATCTTGAAAATTTTCATTAAAGTAGTTGGATAAATACAATTTTAAAAAATTTGTTTTCTGAAAAATTAATTTCTTTGTGTTCATATTAAATTACTAGAGTTAAGATGATTTTGATCCCTACTGATGGCAAATATTGTACAGCCTGTATGTACATACATATGAACGCAAACGGTTATACACAGTTCTCAATTCGAAATTACAATGGAGAGGATAATCGATTATATGGATGATATGAACGTCCGTAGTAGCACCAGTGGACTGTAAGGGTTAAGGTCAACTTGCACTATTCACTTGATTTGACTCGCATCTTGCGCCATTAGCCTGTAGGTCACAACCGAGCAAACCTTCCCTAAGCACTTTACACAATGTCGGCGCGCTTTCGTTCTGCACGGTAATCTCAAAAGACAGTAATTCTCTAAATGCCAGAACAAATTTGTAAGTCATTTTCGAAAATCTAAAAGCCTGAGTAAGTTCGCAGTTTGTACGATGGTCTCCGTTTACGAGAAACTGGTCGTGTGGACAACCGTGATCCTTCGTACCACCAATCTTTAACTAGAAATCTTTGAAAATTATTCAAGCGTGTTTTTCATGCTTTCACCAGACTGGAGTATACACATATTTTCATACTTACACCAGACGGCAGTACATGCCGTATATAAATCTGGTCGTGAATCTGTGGCTTATATATGTTCGCTTTTGTATATATCCGTATGTATGTGTGCGTGTGTTATATATATATATATATATATATATATATATATTCAATAGTCTTCAAACCCTTTTAACATCTTGGGTTCATTAAAGGGCTCTAATAAAATTATCTCATTGCATATTGATAAACATTCTCTACGTGATGCTCAATGAATAGATGATTGTTTGAACTGCTTTTTTTTTTAAATTTTCTGCTTCAACATGATGGTTCCGATTTACTTGAGGCTACACGCAGAAACTATTTATTTTCGAAGCTTCAAAAGTTTGTTGGAGAAGAAGAATTTTCGCTTACATAACTATGGAGACGCTGAATGAATCAAAACTTCAGAGAGACTTCAAAGAGAAATAAAAAAAACTTCTTTCTAATGGATAAAATAATATTGTCTCTAAGCTTACTTTACAGAAAATTAAAAACTCGTGGTTTAGAAATATTAATAATTATTTTCTTTCTTTGGAGATTCACATATTTTTTAAAGTAAGCCTAAGTATTTCTTAAATCCCAGTGTTCAGATTAAAAGCAAATAATACTGCTTTTAAGGAATGAAATATTTAATCTTTTATAAAAAATATATTACTGCACAGTATGTAAAAACCTGACTTCTGAATTTAATTCTGAAGCTCTGTAAAGAGAAAAAAGAAAGAAATTGTTTATAACGTATGATCAGTTTTCGTAAATACATGTCTGATCTATTAAAAATGTGTTTAAACTTTGAAGTCGAGAAGAGGCAGAGATTGAGGAAATTTCTCTATCTCTATACTTTAATTATTTTCTAATTATTACATTAAAAAGAAGTTATTTTCTTACAAATTAGGATGGCTTTTTAGCCGCTATTTTCCGTATGATGTATTTATTCTGATACCTAATACTGAATAATATGAGAGGAATATTTTAAAAAAAAAAAAAAAAAAAACTATTGTCTAAGAAAATAACAAAAAAAAAA